AACGGATTGACTTTTTTTTTTTGCCAACCATAGGAAAATTAGTGTTGCCACTCAAATTTTTTTTTTTTTTTGGAGTGTGTCTTGACTCTTGTAGAAATATAATTTCGATAATAATTTATAGTCTATACACATCAAGACTCGAGCGTGAAGTGTCAACCTATTAAATTTGGATTACAAAATGTAGGGTTGTTCAGTGGTCTTGTAGGTTGATTACCGGTCCGATCCGACCAACTGATGGTTCGGTTATAAGTATTATCTGCATGTTGTTTTTTTATTAATTAAAAAAATCAATATTGTAAAATATCTACATTTATAGTCATTCAAATTTGATAAGAGTGTGCTTTCTATATTTTGAATAAATAAAATAGGTAAATAAAGTGTTCACATAATTAACTACTAAAAACTATATATATGTATATTTAAAAGTCGCGTGGTCTGGTATTATCAACCAACCGACCTAATAACTCGTAACTATTCTCTCTCTCTCTTTTTTTTACTTTTTTTTTTTTTTTTTTTTTTTTTTGAGATAACTCGTAACTATTCTCAATATTTCAAGTTAGTAAAACAATATGGGCCGGGCCGGACTTTTGTCTCATAAATGGGCCGAGGTTGAAATTGCAATATTGGGTTAATCCATTTAAGGCCTATATGCAGCAAATTGAAATATTTATTATTATTTCAAAGCAAAATTGATTGTATAAAATGATCTATCCAAACAAAGAATAAACTTATTTAAATTTGTTAGTTTCAAAAGAATCATTGTGAGGTAAAGCTAAATTAAGAAAATAAAAATTTAATAAAAATAATAATAAGGTAAATTATTAACATTAGTGAGGTAAAGCTAAATTGTGAACTAATATCCTTCTAATTAGTGAAATTACATTGTGTAAGTTGGACCATGATAATAGTTTTGCTAAAGTTTGAGTACCAATTATGTCATTTGTAAATATTCATATACCAAATTGACATTATCAAAATAATTTTCAAAATCAACCTTTTTTAAAGATAAATTTTAAATGTGTAAAGTATGTGTCTATTTCAATATAAGTAGGACTTCCAATCATGAAGTGGATAGATATATCATACAGTCTCTATCGGATAGAACATAAATTATTTTTTAATATGCCATCACATAATACTTAATTTTTTATTGTTTATTTCTTTTTTTACATAATAGTCAATTTACTATAGAATCAATTTCTTAAGAACAAAATCATTTTAATGTAGCACTAGTTGTACTACCTACAAATTGTTTTTTTTTTTATTTTATTTTTATTAAAATGTATATACTATAAATCAAAAAAAAAAAAAGTCGTCGACAATTACAACAGGCATACCCGAGGAAATTGCAGAACCTAATGCAAAAGGGAAAAGAAATAAACTAACATAAAAGCAAAAATAAACGTGGGAAACCCCACTAAAGCCTAAACATCAAATCACGCCCTCATGGGTGCATAAGGCTGCCAAGTTCTCTGCTCGTCCTCGAAATCGCTAGCTTTTGGTGCTGGCAGTACATAGCCGAGTAAACATGTATCTCAATCTTCATTGTGAGGCCCTTTCAGTGGCGGATCCAGGACGAAAATTCAGGGTATGCCGGCTGTGCCGAGTCCAAGAATTTACAGTATAGTGGGGTTAATTTTTTTCGGGTTCGGGGGTGATACGCGTTTTCCTCACGTATAAATTACCGCAAGTATACAGTATCGCATTTTGCAGAACAGTTCCGGATATCGATCCACAGGGACCTTGTAGATTCACATGCTGAGTAGTGTAATTATATTATCGTTATATTATCTAGCCGATCGTAAATATTTGGAATTGTGAGAAACCCTAATTTGAAGGCATGCAAGATCGTAAACATGCAAATTTAGAATGTACGTAAATAAAGTAACGACAACTCAACGCGGGGGGACTTCGATTTAAAGGGGACTTCTAGAGCCAAATCCACCTATGTATAATCAATAACGATCTACAAATCCGTTATCTAATGTCACATTCATATTCGTTAACCCAGACGCTAATGTACTCTAACCCCCGTCTCCAGTGTAGTTAGAGTCTACCCACAGGTCCGACGTCTCCGTTCAGAACCTGCTATTAAGAGAGCATTTAGGCCAAGTCCTTAAGAGCTACCCGAAGTGCATCACGTCTCCGTTTCCACACCCCGAGCTATGTTTTCCTAACTTCAAACAAGAAATCCTCTCTCGAGTTCATTCCTATTTAATATCAATCTGAGAGCTGATCAACACCATCAGAAGCATTTAATACAGGAAAACATAAACAAAATCAAAACACGACAAATAGATAACAGAAATGACGATCGAAATCAATATATACAAGGCTTCATTACCCTAGAAGAAAATGTTCTTAGTTCATAACAAACATAGTATCAAAAGAATGTACAAAGGAAATGAAGAACAAAACGTAAAGAAATTTCGTAAGAAAAACCCAAGTCGGAACCCCCGTTGATGATTCCCGCGAAGAACTGTCGAAAACCGTAAAAAGTCGAAGAAGAAGGAAGGGTGAGGGCTTGCTTCTATTTATAGTAAATTGCAAAGCTTCCTCAAGAAGCTTTGCTTTCTAAAATATCTGCCCTCGAAAATCGTGCCAGATCGCGATCCCATAAAGTCGGATCGCGATCTGGCTTCTCGAAAAAATGTGAACCGCCACCCAGATCGCGATCCAGGAAGTGCGGATCGCGATCTGCCCCAAAATCACGATGCTACTGGAATTTGTCACCAGATCGCGATCCGACTTTCCTGGATCGCGATCTGGGTCTGAATCTTGCTTGCTACTGGAATTTGCATCCAGATCGCGATCCGACTTTCCTGGATCGCGATCTGGGTCTTAATGATCACTTTCTCGGCTTGAAAAATCGGTTTCGCTTCCAAATGGCTTCGACTTGGCAACAAAAGCTAACAAAACCTAAAAAAGGAAATAAAACAAGAAACGCAATAATATATACAAATAAAGCCGAAACTCGGACGAACGAAGACCAAAACTCGAAGATTTGATAAGCAAAAAATCGTGCAAAACGACCACTTATCAGGGGGCAGCGGCCCCGGAAAAAAATTTTGAACCTTTTTTTGTTGGATAAATTAGGATAGGGGAAAAAATTGAAAGTTTTTGTTTTTTGGATAAATTAGGAGAAGAAAAAAATTGGGACTTTTTTTGTATATTGTGAATTTTGGGTGGACTAAATAATAATATAGATATAATATAATGTGTTTTTGGAGAGAGGGGCTAAAAAAAAGAATTTTTTTTTTGTATATTTTGAATTTTGGGTGGACTAAATAATAATATAGATATAATATAATGTGTTTTTGGGGAGAGGGGCTAAAAAAAAGAAAAAAGGTTAGGACTTTTTTTGTATATTTTGAATTTTGAGTGGACTAAATAGTAATATATATAGAATATAATGTGTTTATGGGAGAGGGGCTCAAAAGAAATTTAGACAAAAAAATTGAACAATACTTTTTTGTACCATAATCGAGTGGAGTCAAACTCATGGCCTCATCTAACAACTTGGAGATCTTTGCCACTAAGGCACATTTATTTTCGTTATTTGGGGTGGTCCATGGCATACTTGACCACCCCCTAGGTCCACCCTTGTGCCCTTTGGAGTTATAGATGGCACCCAAAGAAGTTTACCCCACGGTTGGATCGGACCTTAGCCCTAATCCAGTCTATACTTTGCTCACATTTAATTTGTAAAGCTTCCTACAAGTTCACCCCGGATCCGAATGATGTCCTTTAAGAAGGGTGAAGTTGTAAAATATCAACTCATTTTTTCTTAATAAAAAAAGATAAATACTTACACATTTATAAATCAGAACTCTGAACTAACAAAATTCTATTAATTTAGTGATATATTAAATTAGTGTATTAATAAGTTAGTATATTTTTACTGAGTTGAGATCAGAAAAATTTGTATTAAAATAAAATTATTATTTATTGAATATTAATTTATCAATGTTATACTGAATTTGAAGCGTAAAAATAAACTAAATATATAATTAATAAGATTTAGCAGACACGATTGTTGGAATAGATTTCATTCAGCTTTCAAAGTCTCACGTAAGAATGACAAAAATCATTAGTCCGAAAAAATAGACCGCCGCCGGAATAACTTTAAAACCCCCACGCCTCTTTTGTACTTTGATTTCAGCTACACGACAAAATCTTCAATCATTATCCACTTTCAAAAATAAATTAACATAAATCTATAAATATAATTTGCCAGTGCGCATTCAGTTTATTTCTTACGTGTCGGATGACACTGCCAGATTCCTCCACGTGTTGACACGAGCCAATCGGGACCGTTCAGAAAATGACATCATGTGGAAGCTTCAAGAAAAAAGCGGGCCCCACCATTCAAATAACTTATTATATTTATTTCAATTTAAGTGAAAAAATCTTATTTGACAAATTACTTTTTATATTTTTAAATTATTTTTATTACATCATTAATCTGTCACTAATGCTCGAGTAAAGTTGGAGATTTTTTTTTTTATCTTAAACTACGACTATAAAATAAAATTATAAAATGGCCTAAAGAGATAAATTAAAAACAAAACGAAGGGAGTAATATCCAAATATGGTTGCTTTCTTAGCTAAAAAAAATTAGAGTTCAAGTAAGAGATAATCATATAATACCAAAATTCAATACATTAAATACAAAATTAATTTTGAAAATCCAGTATTTTATAATAGTAGCCTTGTAGGTACCTACAAATAATTTCACTGAGTAAAGTATACCAATTTATTTCTGATTTTTTAAATTGATCTTGGTACATAGAATATTTATAAATTAATACTCAATAAATTAATAATCTCGATTAAATAATAGGTTCTCTCATTTCCGAATCGATGAAAACGTATTAAATTGTTATGTCGATAATTTAGTAATTTACTAAATTAATAGAATTTTTTTAATCCCCATTGTATTAATTTATAGAGTTTTAAGTGTAGCAATAAAAGGCGTAATAAGCACCAAACAGCCACGGGACCAAGTTGCAAGATGCGCGCGTGGGAGCAGCACGTGCAAGGGTCGCCGAAACTCGGACACATATAAACACGACACGTGTGAGTCGCCGTCCCCGAATAAAATACATGAAATTGCAGTTCAAACCCCCCCTTTTTCCTTCACCATTATTTCCTATTACGCCTCTCCTCCTTTTCATTTCAGTCTAATTATTTAAAAAGAAAAAAAATAAACAAGTTCGAAAAACAGGGTCTTTGATCCGAAGAAATTAACGAAGTAGCAGCAACCATGGTGCAGTTGATGAAGACGGCCGCCGCTGAACCGGAACCGCAGACCGAAAAGACGGCGGCGGCGGCGGTGAAGACGGAGGAGGTGGTGGTGGAGGATTCCTTAGAGGAACAACACGGCCCTCTTTACAAACGCCCCAAAGTATTCTTCTTTACTTTCTCTGCCTTTTCTTTTTTACTTACCATAAATAAAAATTCAAATTCGAATTGTATATACTTATCTATATTGTGGTGCAGCAGAGTTTGGAAATTGGGGGTTTCACAGTGCCACCTTCGCAATACAACCCGTTAGCCGAGCCCAGCCCGTTAGGTTTGCGCCTGAGGAAAAGCCCGTCACTCCTCGAGTTAATCCAATTGAAGCTTTCTCAATCAACCTCCCCGAAAAGTGGGGCCCACACTAAAAAGGATTCGAAAGCCGGCGCTTCCTCTTCTGTCGATAAGCTGAAGGCTTCCAATTTTCCGGGCTCTGTTCTTCGAATCGGTAGCTGGGAGGTAAATATTTGTGTTAAATTACGCAGCAAAATAGTTATTACTGATGTGTATCGATATCACAAGTGTAGTTTCCGAAAAGAGTTGGAATTTTCGGAGATTAAAATTGGGTCGGAAATCGGAATCTAATATGTATTCGAATTCTGTTCCAAAATAAATCGGTAAAACCGGAAATAGGGGATTTCGGAATTCGGAATGAAATAGATTGTCCAATATCTGAGATTTTCGGATCCGAATCGATGGAATTCGGAAATTCCGATCCAATTTCCATCCCTAGTATCGCACTGATTAATTTTTAGTTTTTTTTTTGTGTGGGTGCAGTATAAATCGAGATACGAAGGGGATTTGGTGGCGAAATGCTATTTTGCAAAGCATAAGTTGGTTTGGGAAGTTCTCGATGGTGGTCTCAAGAATAAGATCGAAATTCAGTGGTCGGATATTATGGCTTTGAAGGCGACTTACCTAGATGATTCACCCGGGACTTTACATGTTGTGGTAATTATTAAATACTCTGTTCGTTCATTTTATTTTATTTTTATTTTTTTACGTTTTTATTTTAATAAATTTAAAGACACTCGTTTTTGGTTCGATTTGTAGCTTGCACGACAACCTCTTTTCTTTAGGGAGACTAATCCACAACCTAGGAAGCACACTCTTTGGCAGGCCACCTCGGATTTTACCGATGGGCAAGCTACTTTACATAGGTAAGGTACGATTCATTAGATAATTGTCGGAGATTATATCGACTTCGTTAAATTTACGTATTATTCGTGCAAGCTCATTTATAAATCATAATTGTATGTTCCCTTTTGTCCTTTTCGCACGAGTGCCATTTAGACTTTTATCTTTAATTTTGAGTTTATGTTAAATTTGAGACCAGGAAATCGTGTTTTCTGTTTATTCGGAGATTTACGATACATGTTTGACTTAGTTATTATTATTTTTTTTTTTTGTAGGCAACACTATCTTGAGTGCCCGCAAGGCTTGTTGGGGAAACATTTCGAGAAGTTAATGCAATGTGATCCCCGTTTGAGTTTTCTCAGTCAGCAAGGGGAAATAGCATTAGATTCTCCGTATTTGGAAACTGGAATTTCCGGTTACGATAATCAAAATGAAAACAATAATGAGTTGGATTTGAATAGAGAAGGAAGTCCCTCGTTTTTCAGCTTACAAGATACTGCTTCACCTTCAGGGGCACAATCGTCTTCCTCAAAGAATGATCTAGATGCTTTTGGTAGACATTCGGAATCTTACCCTCGTGAGACGCCTTCTCCAATTTCAGGTAAAATTATTCACTGAAGTAATCATGTCATATGCCTATTTACTCGACGTTTAGGGGGGTTATTTGCCTTAAAAAAACATTATAGGGGGGTCTTGCGAATATTTATAGTCACAAGGAGCTTTTTTAGCAATTAGATATAACACAGGGGTACTAAATGCAATAAACTCATAATCCATTAGTACACGCATAAAACCTTTTTTGATCATTTGGTAAAATAGTAACATAATACGGCATCTGTCCCGATCTAGTATTTCGGCTCGAAATTTTGAAATTGCAGCGATCGAGATTGTATGTGTGTATAGGATGATAGATTCTTTAAAGATGCTTCAGAGAAAACGAGTACTTCCCGTTACTAAATCCCGTGTTATTATACGCAGTCATGGACACATCAACAGTCGACTACATGAAAACCGGCAGAACCGAGCAGCTCAAGTGGGACCAGATAAAGGTACCCGGGACCCACTCGTCCATGTCAATGACCGATTTAGTCAACCACCTCGAACATCGAATATCCGAGCAAGGAATATCAGCATCATCATCTCAGAATCCGATTCTCTCGAGCGACGAATGGCAGAGCTTGCAAATATTGGACGATATCCAACGGTGCTTATTCACCGAAAATAATAATAATAGTCAACACTCGCCCGATGCAGATGAGAAGTCACTCATGTCGAGGGTCAACTCCCTTTGCTGCCTCTTGCAGAAAGATAAAGATAACGATAATGTAAAGAGAGAAGACGACGAGAACCGTGGCGATGTCAACGGGGTTTCTTCTTCTATGTCGAGGAAAGATTCTGCTGGGGATCTGTTGCTTAATTTGCCTAGGATAGCTTCTTTGCCGCAGTTCTTGTTCAATATCTCCGAAGATTATGAGAATCGAGCTAGGTGAATAATGTTCATGTGACTTTTAGTACTAATAAGATGTTATATGTATATGTAGTTGTGTAATTGCTCCTTTTTTTTCTTTTTTTTTTTTTTGGAGTAGAAGATTCGAATTGACGGTGAAACCTGAAACTTGTGTTGTATGTATACATGTGTGTTTTTGTTAACTTAAAAGAAAAAAAGAAATAAAGAAAGGGCTTTGAAATGTCTAGTGACATCATATTGTATAATAATTTATAAATTATACAAGAGTTGTAATTACACTAGGTTAATTATATGTCTAGTGACATCATATTGTATAATAATTTATAAATTATACCAGAGTTGTAAATTACACTAGGTTAATTATATGTGTCAAATTTTTAACACAACGAATGTTGATATGAAGATTGGAACATGGATCAATTGACACGTATTTACCTGCTCCAACCGCTAGGTCATTTTTTAAAGAATCCTGCCCATATTTTTGAACTGCTGCATGTTGGTTTTGCTGGTTTCTACAACAGTACAATATTTATATATGTAAACCAATGTGGTAATAATCGGAAATCGGGCCGGAGGTGGTTAGGCAACGACTCACAATTAATCGGTGCGACGGTATTTAACTGGCGATAAATCAGAAAAAAGTTTTTAAAATTTAAACTAATATATTTATATTAGTTATAAATACTCAAAACATATATAAAAAAATATTTAAACATAGTTATATCTCCATCATGTATATATTTTAATAACATAATAAAAGTTAATAATAATACGATCATAATACAATAAAAATCCTCATAAAATATAAATAAAAAGGCAAATCTTTTAATTTTAAATTTATTTATTGGACATTCCAAGCATATATCACTAGGTTATTTAACAATACTAGTTAACATAGACTAAATAAATCATAAATTTATCTTTTTTTTTTTATTAAAGTCCCAATTTTTATTTTGACTTAAAAAAAGTAAAAAAAGAAAAAAACGATTTTTCAAACATTTATATCAAAATTGTAAAGGATTGGGACCGCCTCGGCCTCGGAGACCGATTAATCATCTGCCTCGACCGATTTTTAGAACACTGATATAAACTAAAAAATGACACTATTATTAAATTTGTTATATACCACAAAAGTATTTTTATTTTGAATGAAGTCAATGCAGACTTTACGTTAATTAAAATAGGGGAAATATGCAATACACCCCTTATTTAGAAAATATTTTGAACTAAACTCAATTGATTTTAAAGATTTTTCCCATAACCACATTTCAATCTAAATTAGTGAGACCCCCCTTACCAGTCATGATAAGACTAAAGTGCCCCTATGTGTTAGGTTTTTAATATAATACAATTTTATTTCTCCCTCAATTTCATTCTCTCGGTTCTCGCCTCTCTCTCTCTCTCTTTCATTCTCTCGCTATTTTTCTCTGTTTATAGCTTTTTTTTTTCTTTTTTTTTTCTTTTTCCTTCATCTTCACATCTGTAGACCGCCGCCGCCGGAGTCACCCTTCAAACGCCGCCGCCGAAACCCGTTGACGAGGCCCTCCTCCGCCGATGTTGGAGATCGTCTCCCCCCTCGTCGAACACCACCACATCGACGCCTGGTACAATTGGCGGCGGCGCCTCCCCCACCTTGTCGCTGCCTCCGTCGGATTTCTATATGGAGATTTCCCTTCTCTCAACGCGGAATACCAATATATACTATATTAATTGGTAAATTTTATTTTTTATTTTTCTCGAATTAATTGTCGAATCCGCAACAAAAAAACATGTTCGATGGCCATTGTTGAAGGATCACATTAGTTATTTTTGTTTTTTCGTAGTCATTTTTTTTTCTTTTTGCAATGTATTTTGCTGTTAATATTGCAAGTTTTTTCAAGTGCTGATTACTTGTAGTCACATTACGCAGTTGCTAGTCACATAATAGTCATATTCCCACTATCATGTTCAGTATGTTATACAAACTGTAGTCACATAATAGTCATATTCATGTTTCTACTGTCTGTTAATTATAATGTTTTACAAAGCACAGTCACATTCACATAGTAGTCATATTCTTACTGTTATATTAATAATTATGCTTCTACAATATTACACTATTATACACAGCGTAGTCACATAATAGTCATATTCAACTATAGTTATATTCGGAGTTGTAAATCTGTCGAGAAAAAAAAATCAAAATTTTGTTTAAAAAAAATTAAAAAAATATATTTTTTTATTAAAAAAATATTAAAAAAAAATAAAATAAAAAAGTGGCTATAAAATCCGAAAATAATACAAAATAATAAATAAATAAAAAAATCCTATTTTTTGATTTGGTAGCAAATTTTTAGAAATTTGGAAGTAGATTTTTAGGAATTAGATTATTGTTATGGAAAGAGTGAAAAAAGGAATAATTGAGACTAATTATGATAATTGACATAAGGGTAGAATTGGAAATACAAATTCTAGGGGTTATCACAAAGAAAGATTTAAGAGTTGGACATATCACCATTTATTATCTATATGAGGGGTTTATTGCTAATGACCCCATTAAAATAATCATTTATGTCAAATGATCAAAGTAAAAAAAAAAAAAGAATATAATTAAACTTTGAAACTAATATTAGTTCGTTGAACAAAGTAGAAATAGACCGCGTCAAGTCTTTGCAGTTTCCAAATTTCGTGTCTTTGAAAATATCAAAAATCCAAAGCCACATTTTCCTTCCACGTGGGATTGAATTTGACTGTCAACTTTTTAATTTCTTAATATTTTTGTTTTTAGAACACGTTTTGTGCCGGACACTTGAGGATATTTGTCGGATATTTTATGGGTTATTTTACAATTTTTAAAAAGTTAGAACATATGTTTGAATATCAATTTTCAAACGTTTTTGTTGCTTTGCTAATTATTTACATAATTCATGACCAATTGCAAATTGATCGTTGATAGTATAATTTATTTTGAATATTGTATTAAAATACATAGAAATAATTTATATATAAGTAAAAACTTACATGTGAAAAAATATGAAAAATAGATTTTTATATAATGAAAAAATATGAAAAATGATTAAAAAAAACGTGCTCCACGTAAAAAAAAATGCTAGATGCAAATTTAAAAATGTTAAATAATACCATAGTTCATCATAGTATATTTACAATCTGCTGTAATTTTGAATTTGTGAGTGAAAGGGCAGTTTTGGAATTAATTTAATAAAGGGATGTGAAACAAATTTTTGTTAAGCTTATCATTTAGTTCTAATAAGGTATGTCACCAGTGACTTATATCTTAAGACCCTTTTTTTATTACTATATATGTATGTATAGTTTTTTGCCTTTGCATTGTCCTCCTATAATAAATTGATCTACAAGTAGGATAAATAAATTATGAATTCTGATTTGGAACCAAGAACGAATCCACCGTTGGAAAGTGGTGGACTCAAGCCATCCTTAATTGTAAAATTCTCCGATGTATTATTATATTATTAAGTCCACCATTTTTTTATTATTTAACTCATTTATCATCCAAATAAACGCAAAAAAAAAAAAAGTACAAAGTGTTTCTTTTCTCTTCTGATTTTGTAAGAACAATTTTCGAATTTTTTTGGGGGCACTGCCCCTGAATCCCAAAAAAATAAGTTCGACATGTTAAAAAATAACAAAGACAAAGATTAGTTATTGATTCGGTAGCTGCAATAAGCCAATAACTAATCTACAACATAGTACAATTGAAAAGTGTTAAATTGAGTCGTGATTGGGCAGTTATTAATTATTATGCAATTTCCAAATTGATTTAGAAAAAGGTGTCGAATTTATAGTAAGTGTGTCCACACCACAGTCCTTACCTGCCTCCCATGTAAAATATTGAATCAACCAACCAGACTTTTGTCGTATAATAAATAATGTTATCATTGTTTATAAATAGAAGCAATTAATCAGCTAATTAATTGTTTTAATATCTTAATTAACAGCATCTCCCAATTAGCCTGAGAAATATGATGGCTGGCTTGATCAAGCTGATTATTATACTTGTAACCATTTTAGCTATTTCTCAAACTCAGGCCAGAAAATTCCCAGGTTGTTATTGTTGAGGTGCAAACAATGTCCCACATCGGCTTAAATATGGGAAAGATCTATGGTTTATATGGAGGGGATAGTAACTCCATTGGTATGAGGCCTTTTGGGGAAACCCAAGAGCAAAACCAGTTGGGCCCGGCCCAGTTTGGACAATATCATACCAATGTGGAGTTTGTGCTATCCCTGCGGGGGCCCAACAGTGGTATCAGAGCCATGGCCCAGACCTAACCATGTGGTGGAAGTTGCCGGATCCTCGGTGCCGAACAAAAAATGGTGAGCTCCCGGTGCGCAAATGGAGGCGGCTCGACGAGCTCCAGGTGGGAGGCTCGGTGGTGTGAGCCACAGGCGCAAATTGAGGGGAGGCTCTGTGGTCCTTAGTGGTCCGACCTGTGTGGTACTTTGTTCGAGGGGAGGATTGTTGAGGTGCAAACAATGTCCCACATCGGTTAAATATGGGAAAGATCTATGGTTTATATGGAGGGGATAGTAACTCCATTGGTATGAGGCCTTTTGGGGAAACCCAAGAGCAAAACCAGTTGGGCCCGGACCAGTTTGGACAATATCATACCAATGTGGAGTTTGTGCTATCCCTGCGGGGGCCCAACAGTTATTAACTCTCTCTCTCTCTCTCTCTCTCTCTCTCTCTCTCTCTCTC